TGCCGCGCCCCCCGCATGTCGCTGGCGCCGCGCCCCGCGCCCCCACAGCCGCCCGCCGCCGCCCTCCGCCGCAGCCGCCGCCGCCCTTGATGTGGTTCGGGGCCGGGCGGGGGAGAAGATGCCGCCGTCCAAGTCCCGCAAGATCGCGATCCTGGGCTACCGGAGCGTGGGTGAGCGCGGCGCGGGTTGCGCGGCGGGGGCGGCCCCGGGTGCCGCCGCATCGCCCTCCCCCGCGGGCGGCGCTTCCCGCCGCCCCGAGCGCGCAGCCGCGGGCCGAGGGAGGGAGCGAGGGAGGCCCCGCCATGGCGGCGCCGCAGAGCTGCGGGCCCGCGGCCGCCCTGCCCTTAATAGGAAGTTTCGCCCCCGCGCTGCCCGGACGCAGCCCGGGGAAGCGGGATCGGGGGAGCTGCCGGGAGGGTTCCTGCCCCGCCGGCTTTGCTGTGCTGGGGGCCGGCTCTATCCAGCGCTCCGTGTGGGGCGAGCCCGGAGAAGGGCGGCGGAGCTGGGGAAGGGTCTGGAGCGCGTGTGCTGTGAGGGGCGGCCGGGGCAGCGCAGCCCGGAGGAGCGGAGGCTCAGGCGGCCCTCACGGCTCTCCGCAAGTCCCTGACAGGAGGGCGCGGCCGGGTGCGAGTCGGGCTCTGGGCAACCAGCATGAGGACACGGCCTTCAGCTGCGCCCGGGGAGGTTTGGGTCGGACGCAGGAAGAATTTGTTCTCAGAAAGAGTGATGGGACACTGGAATGGCAGCCCGGGGAGGCGGCGGAGTCGCCGTCCCTGGAGCTGTTTCAGCAAGGACTGGACGCGGCGCTCAGTGCCGTGGTTGACGCGGTGATGGTGGCTCCCTGGTGGACCTCAGAGCACTTTTCGAGCTCGGTATTTCCGTGATTTAGAGCCAGTTTTAAATGCTGGGGAGGCCAGTCGGGTTCGCTGCCCGTGTCTGGGCTGTTTCTGCCCCAGTTCCTGCTGTTCCCCAGGGCCGCCTCGGCTCCAGGCTGTGCCCGGCGCTGCTGGGACAATCCAGCCCGGGCTCATCGCTGGGACGATCTTCCTGGAAGCGTCCAGCACGAGTCTATAGCAGCTGATAGAGGGTTTTGTTCCGTATGAAAAAGTGTGATCTTTTCTCCTGCATTTGATGGAGAACGGTGTCAGAGGTTTCAGCATTCGGGCTCTTGAAGCAGGGGGGAACAAGCTGTAGTACAGCCGGTGCTAATCGATCAAAGTTAAAAGCATAGATCAATGTGGAAGATAATGTGTGGTTGGGGAAAAAAATGCTACAGAGAGATACTACTCTTGATATAAACGGGGTTTTTACATTGAAAGCAGTGACTATATCAGTAATTTGTCTTATGTGGCACACAGCATAAAGAACCCTTTAAAAAAGCTTTTTTAAATATAAAAAAAGTGGGCTAAAAAGGAGAGCTTTTCCTTTCATTTTGTGCCTAGCTGCAGGCAGGTTGGTGTTAAAAGGATGATGAATTTGTCCAGTCCTTAAACAGAACTGTGAGTAGCAGGTTGATCAGTTTGCACAGTCTGTATGACATCACTTGTTGCACTCTGTTCATTGTCCTGTGTGTTATGTTTTCTTTCTTCTTTGAGCACTGGTGGGAGCAGAGCAATGGGCAGTGTAAGTGGGAAGGGGGAAATGCTTGAAATTCTGTTCTTTGGAAGTCTGTGGTGGGGACTGGGTGTACTTTGGTCCTTCATCTGTTGACATTGACAAGCAGCAGTCAGAAAATCAGGTATTAGTGGAGTGTAAGACTAGTTGAGGAGAAATAGAGTGTAATGTTGTTAGTTTGGTTGGGGATGTGAGCAATAGTACTCATGGAAAGGATGGCCAAAACATTACCTAACTGTTAAGACCTACTGCTGAACTTCTTTAGCTAAAGTTTTCTGGGACTAGTGTGGAATTGGGCTTGATAGGACAAGACCAGTTTTATTAGGAGAGCTTCAAATTGTATGAACATAGAATTAAGGGGGTTTGGGAATCTGGTTTACTGGAATTTTCCTTTCATTGTAATTTAATTTCTTGGCAAATAATTAGGTAAAAGTTCAAGCAGTAGAAATGGGCCATTGAGGTCCCACTTCCATCTTGTAAAGCTGTTAGAAAGGCAGGAAGGTTCACCTGTGAGATTTAGACTGTCCTCTGCTTCCCCAAATATCCCTCCTGAAGTGTAGTAGGATGGAGACTGAGTTTGGCCTCAGGGAAACTTTTGATTAAGTCTTGCTTTGTATTATGATGGCAAGAATATCACTTGAACCCTGGGTAAGAAATAATCTCATTTTAGGACAAGTGTTTGGGTGGTAGAAAAGGAAGTACGTTTCTTTTGGAGGAAATGCTGCATTGTATAGAGGTAATGCTCATTAAATTGGGGAATAATTCCAGAATCCGAAGGACTGGAAGGAAATGCTTTCTACATTTCCTTTTGTAATTCGGGAACAGCATTGTTTTGCCATTAACATTAATCTTGACCCTGGAATTAGGGAGGTTAACTTTGGTGAGTTGTAAAATGCTTGCAGTTTCATAGGTTGGCCCTGAATGCTGAGGTGACCTGCTCTGGGAAGCTGGGTGTTACTGCAGCATTTGGGATGAAGCTGTCATAAAACAAGGAGCTTTTTCCCATATCTCTCTCACTTAGGTGCTGAAATAACCAGGTTTTGATGATGTATGTCAAGCAGGGAGCTTTTCCCTACAGCTGTGGGTCTCTCAGGTTACCAGTGTGTACAGTGAAGGGTGGGCACGCCCTCCCTGGGGATTTGTGAAACAGGGTCTGAAAATTGCACTGGATTCGTGCTAAGGCCTTGTTTATTTTACTTACATTAAATTTTAATTGTATCCCGGTGCTGTTGTCAGGTAAACTGGAGGTTGGGAGTGGTATTCTGGTATAATAGTTCTCAGAATAGAAAATTCAGGAGTCTGCTTGTTTGAATACACTCCCTCTATCTTTCAACACCGCCATCAAGCCTTTCATATGTGAAACTCTTATTCTTTGCTGATGGGAGAGATCACAGTGGCAGCCTCGTGAATTCCCAGGCAGTCATACTTTCTGAGATGCAGACAGAGTATTTGCCAGGAGCTTTAGGAGTTGTTTTTTGGTGAGGAAGACTATCTGTGGATATAGCATGCAGGTCGTGGCACGATGTGAGACAAAATCACACAAGAATGTCTCTGTTGGTTTGCTCAGGCTTAAATTGGCCTAAGAAAGTTAAATTCCATTATGTAAGTGTGCTTGTCTCAGCAAGGTTCTGAGTAGAAATCAGATGGATTTCATCCCAAGATCTGAGTTTCACAGCAGAGGAACTTGACTTCCATTACTGTTAGCTGGGAAGTGACCAGAGTGGATCAGCTGTTTGATATTTGATTCTGGAAGAAATCTGTCTTGTGCATGATGAAGCATAAAATTTTATAAAGTTACTGCCTTCACTAAAAAGAATCTTCATATTTGTGTTTTGGTCATAACTTAATATCCCAAATATAATTGGAAGTAATGGATTTGCTTGGAAATAAATCAAGCAGGACTAAGATTTGCTGAATCTTTTTAGAGTAACAGCCTCTCTAAAAGCAGGGTAGAGTCACCAAAAATGCTTTGTGCTCAGTTTCATTCTCTTTCTGTTTATAGAACAGATGTGCAAATTCAGACCACAAATGCCTGTAGGAAAGAAGAAGTTTCTTAGATCATCTTGTAAAGTACCTTATTACTGAGATTCCATGTATTCTATTGAATGGATGGATTTAAGATAAGCAGGAAGGTATTGTTTGGATCAGCTCCTTCAGTTGTAGGTCTTTATCTCAGCCCAGTTTCTTTTGTGCTGTTTGGGTAAGTTGTGCTGCTGGTTTTACAGATGTACTTGCAGAAACAGGAATTCTCTTTCTGAATTTTACAAGTTTGGACTGGTCATCTGAAAGTGCTGTCCTGGGCACTTTATGGCTCTGAGGGGAAAATCCAGTTAATAATAGGGAACTTACCTATTTTCTGCCCTGGATAAATAAATCAACTTCTTTTGTGTGTGTAGGTGTAGAGCAGACCATGCTGCAGGCAGAAGTAGTCATGGTCTGACTGCGGCATGCAGGTATCAAAAAAAAACTCTCTGATGGAACAAAATGATCTGTCAGGATTGGATTTGTATGAAAGGCTTCCAGGTGATTGTATCCAGCTAAAAAAATTCCTCTGCCCCCTCCACTTTGCTTGAAAAGCAAGAAGGCAGAAAAAGCAGTAACTTCAATATGAACCTGTAAATAGTAAAAATAATTGTTATGGCAAAACGTAGCTCAAAAACACGAGTTGTGTGACTATCAGGAGGTTAGCAGTGTAAAATGGAGCTGGGGCTTTGCTGTTCTGTCTGAAAGATGGCATCTGCTCTCACAGCAGCGTTCCGCCCCGAGCAGGGATCCCTCTGGGATTGGACGGGGAAGTGGTAATTTTAGCAGGCGATAAATTGCCCGTGTAAATGTCAACAGAGGAGGAATGGAGAAATTACCGCTGTCGTGTGCTGTAATTTGGTTTACACAATCGGCTGCGTCCGCAACATGGGAAAGCCTGAGATTTCCCAGGAAAATTGGGCGCTTCGGGAGCCAGCTGATATGGAAGGTTACGTTTTGCTGTCCCTTGTGAGGTGCCAAGATGACTTCCACAGCCCTTCCCTGGCCAGGGCCGCCGTTGGCTCTGCCAGGGTGCGGCAGTGCTGCAGGAGGAAAGGTTGCAGCTCCCGGGGGGCCGGGATGAGGCTGGAAATGCCAGCTGTAATTGCATTTCGGTGTTCGTGGCTGCGATAGTGGCTGCAGCAGGGAAAGTTGCTACACAGCCTTTGATAGCAGTAGCTGGAAGCACTAGAGGCAGCATGTTCAGCTGTAATATCAAGCCACCGTAGGGTTATTTGAGGACACTGCTCGAGGATTAACTCTTAAACTGCCTGCTCTGATCTGTCAATGGCAACACTTGCACGTTTTGCTTGTATGTATGGGGGCGTTTTGGTGTTTGATTACACAACTTGAAGTTAACATCGACAGGAAAAGCCAAGTGAAATGTAGATCCTGTAATTTATAAGCTATATAAAGTTGGAGCTCTTCATTTAGACATACTACACTGCCTGGAGTGTAGGCTCTGGCTGAAGCAGCCACCTCTGCGGTACAGGCTGCTGCGGAAACTCGGCGTGACCACGCAGCCGGGATTAGAAGAGCAGCCTAAAAAGTGATAAATGCCATTATGATTAATTTCCTGTAGCTCTCCTGAAGGTGACATCCAAGGGCGTGCTTTAAAAACTGCTCAACTTAATTGTGTATTCCATCCAAAATCGAAACAGCTTCTCTGTGGGATGTTCATAATGCACTCAGGCTCTGCGAATCCTGCATGAGTCAATTGGCTGGTGTCATCTCAAATTTTCCTAAATCAGAAGCTGCAGACGTGAAGCGTGGTGTGTAAAAACACGAAGTGGCCCTTGTCAGTCATGAATTGGTCTCCTTAAGGATTTGAGAGGTTCCCTTTTGTTTTCCAAGGTCTGTATTTGAAGTGAATGGCAGATTTGTTGTGAATTTGATAATGTGAGAAAGCAAAATCTGCTTGCTGTGTTTGGGAGATGGTTGTTCCTTAAAATTTCTTGCTTTCAACCCTGGTCAGGACATTGGCATTACACTGTGGCTCCTGCCCATTGAGGGCAGCTCTCCTCTAAATGAGGGCATGTGGGATAGGG